CCTCGCCCGCACGCTCGTGCACCCCGACGTGCACGTGGGCATCGTATGCTAAAAAATGAAGTTTGGAGTTTGGTTTGAAAATTTTATGGGAGCTTCCTAGAAGACTAAGAAGTGCTTTGCTCGAGACGGATTTCGATTTGGAGGTCCCCCGGGTTAATTTTACCCATTATGACTCCTCGCCCGCACGCTCGTGCACCCCGACGTGCACGTGGGCATGGTATGCTAAATTGAAGTTTGGAGTTTGGTTGAAAATTTTATGGGAGCTTCCTAGAAGCCTAAGAAATGCTTTGCTCGAGACGGATTTCGATTTGGAGGTCCCCCGAGTTAAGTTTGCCCTTTATGACTCCTCGCCCGCATGCTCGTGCACACCCGGCGTGCACGTGGGCATCGTATGCTAAAAAATGAAGTTTGGAGTTTGGGTTCAGAAATCTTATGGGAGCTTCCTAGAAGCCTAAGAAATGCTTTGCTCGAGACGGATTTCGATTTAGATTTCCGCCGTGTTAATTTTGCCAATTACGGCTCCTCGCGCGCACGCTCAAGCACCCCGACGTGCACACCGGCGCGCACGTGGGCATCGTATGCTAAAAAATGAAGTTTGGAGTTTGGGTTTGAAAATTTTACGGGAACTTCCTAGAAGCCTAAGAAATGCTTTGCTCGAGACGGATTTCGATTTGGAGGTCCCCCGAGTTAATTTTGCCATTACGACTCCTCGCCCGCATGCTCGTGCACACCGGCGTGCACGTGGGCATCGTATGCTAAAAAATGAAGTTTGGAGTTTGGGTTTGAAAAATTTATGGGAGCTTCCTAGAAGACTAAGAAGTGCTTTGCTCGAGACGGATTTCGATTAGGATTTCCGCCGTGTTAATTTTGCCAATTACGGCTCCTCGCGCGCACCGCTCAAGCACCCCGACGTGCACAACCGGCGCGCACGTGGGCATCGTATGCTAAAAAATGAAGTTTGGAGTTTGGGTTTGAAAATTTTACGGGAACTTCCTAGAAGCCTAAGAAATGCTTTGCTCGAGACGGATTTCGATTTGGAGGTCCCCCGAGTTAATTTTGCCCATTACGACTCCTCGCCCGCACGCTCGTGCACCCCGCGTGCACGTGGGCATCGTATGCTAAAAAATGAAGTTTGGAGTTTGGGTTCGGAAATTTTATGGGAGCTTCCTAGAAGCCTAAGAAATGCTTTGCCTCGAGACGGATTTTGATTTGGAGATCCCACGAGTTAGTTTTTGCCCATTATGACTCCTCGCCCGCACGCTCAAGCACCCCGGCGTGCACGTGGGCATCGTATGCTAAAAATGAAGTTTGGAGTTTGGGTTCGGAAATTTTATGGGAGCTTCCTAGAAGCCTAAGAAGTGTTTTGCTCGAGACGGATTTCGATTTGGAGGTCCCCCGAGTTAGTTTTGCCATTATGACTCCTCCCCCGCACGCTCAAGCACCCCCGCGTGCACGGGGGCATTGTATGCTAAAAAATGAAGTTTGGAGTTTGGGTTTGGAAATTTTATGGAGCTTCCTAGAAGCCTAAGAAGTGCTTTGCTCGAGACGGATTTCGATTTGGAGGTCCCCCGAGTTAATTTTGCCCATTATGACTCCTCGCCCGCACGCTTAAGCACCCCCGCGTGCACGTGGGCATTGTGTGCTAAAAAATGAAGTTTGGAGTTTGGGTTTGTAAATTTGATGGGAGCTTCCTAGAAGCCTAAGAAGTGCTTTGCTCGAGACGGATTTCGATTTGAAGGTCCCCCGTGTTAATTTTGCCCATTACGGCTCCTCGCCCGCACGCTCAAGCACCCCGGCGTGCACGTGGGCATTGTATGCTAAAAAATAAAGTTTGGAGTTTGGGTTTGGAAGTTTTATGGGAGCTTCCTAGAAGCTTAAGAAGTGTTTTGCTCGAGACGGATTTCGATTTGGAGGTCCCCCGAGTCAATGTTGCCCATTATGGCTCCTCTCCCGCATGCTCAAGCACCCCTGCGTGCACGTGGGCATTGTATGCTAAAAAATAAAGTTTGAGTTTGGGTTTGGAAGTTTTATGGGAGCTTCCTAGAAGCTTAAGAAGTGTTTTGCTCGAGACGGATTTCGATTTGGAGGTCCCCCGAGTCAATGTTGCCCATTATGGCTCCTCGCCCGCACGCTCAAGCACCCCGGCGTGCACGTGGGCATTGTATGCTAAAAAATAAAGTTTGGAGTTTGGGTTTGGAAGTTTTATGGGAGCTTCCTAGAAGCTTAAGAAGTGTTTTGCTCGAGACGGATTTCGATTTGGAGGTCCCCGAGTCAATGTTGCCCATTATGGCTCCTCTCCCGCATGCTCAAGCACCCCTGCGTGCACACCGGCGTGCACGTGGGCATTGTAGGCTAAAAAATGAAGTTTGGAGTTTGGGTTTGGAAATTTTATGGGAGCTTCCTTGAAGCCTAAGAAGTGTTTTGCTCGAAACGGAATTCGATTTGGAGGTCCCCCGAGTCAATTTTGCCCATTACGACTCCTCGCTCGCATGCAATATCT